ATAATCATTACACTCCTTCTCTCACAAAAAAAGTCAAAAAAGTCAAAAAGTCAAAAGGCCTTCTCAAACCAGGCTTTTTAGCCCCAGGCTAAAATAGTCAAAAAGCTATAAAAAGTCAACCCACTTCCTAAACGGAGGCTTGATTTATTAAAATATTTTTATACATTAACTAAATAACTCTTTACGACTTATTTTATAAGACATAAATCTCACAATTTGAGTGAACCCACCTTAAGCATTTTTTTCGTGTAATAAAATATTAAATATGTCATTATAAAACATTAAAAATAGATCATAATCAACACTTATATAAAAAATATTATAATAGATTATAATCAAGCACCATTTGAAAATTAATTAAAGACTGATACATCACTATTAGACATAATAAAAAATATAAGAAATAGGAAGGAACTTTTTCGATTAATAACCAAAATAATACACTAAGTCATAATTTATATAATAGAACTTTTTCTTGTGTTTTATTTTTTTTTTAGAAAAAATTATGTTAATACAAGTAGAATTCATTAATTTTTGATAAATTAATTAGCACAATGAAAGATTTAATTTCAGATTAGAATACACTTTTTTTCAATTTCAAAAGAAATTATTTTTATAAACTTTTACAATAGGATCACACACATGATAAAAAAAATTTATTAACTATTAGCAAATTTGTATATATTTAACTTTCAATTGCTAAAATTTTTTACACATAAAATATTAAAATTTAAAATCAAATTTTCATTTTAAAAATAAATTCCCTGTGTAATAGTTGTATATATATCTATACTATTATAAGTGAACACTCTTATGGTGTCCTGAAGTTTTCTCTCCTCATGCCATGAGGCAGTGTTTTTATTTTTTTAAAAAAAGTTAAACAAAGAGATGGAAAGGTTTGAACCATGACCATGCGTTTAATATGAGGACTCATACTACTTAACTAAGTATACATTATAATATAATTTTATTATTATTATTTTTATTCTTATTTATTTAAGTACACATTATAATATTAATTTCATTTTTATTTTATTTATTCCTATTTATTTAAATTGTCACGCGCATCGCGTGTGCGCGGCCGCTAATAATAATATATATTATATATTATAGGGGCTTAATCTTGCGATATGCATGCGCATAAATGATGGGAACTTTTGACAAAAATAAAGTTGTGTCTGAATCTTTAAAGTAAAAATGAAAATATTTGACACAATTCATTTAGATGGATAAATCAAGATTGATTTCAGAACTCAGGTATGATGAATTTGAAAAAACAATGTAAAAATAGGAACATTAAAATTCTTCACCTTAAGAGTTTTAATTTGCAAGGATCGTAATAAAATACATATTTTCTCTCTCTAATTTATCTTCCCTCAAATTCCTCAATCCACTTAAAATAACTTAATCTCTTCATTTGAAATCCTTCCATCCAAACAGAGCCTAAAATTTCCTAAACACGAATCAAATGCATGTCTTCAACATTATGCGAGATTTTGGATTGACGAATTTATAGAGGTAAAGGAGGAAAAAAAAAAAAAAAATAGCAGAGGAAAACAAACACAAAATAAATTGAAAAAAGTCAAATTTATTATATTTTATTTCCCTTTCCGATAAATCTCATTTATCCAAACATAGCGTAGAAACTTTGACAAGAGTTTGTGTTTCCTAGAGAGATAGAGTCCATAGAATGTCAACAATTCTTTTCCTTATAACTTTATATTATGATCAATCACTAAATCCAAAAGTGTCAGTCTATAATAACTATCTACAGTCTCTATAAAATATTGGCTAAAATGCCTAGAAATTTGCCTGGTAAGGTATGAAAACCAACAGAGAGAGAAGCAGAAACGATACCAGAAAATCAGGAACCTGGAGAACTTTTCAACTGTCACTCCACCAAAACTAACCGAAAAGCTTTTGGTAAGAGATCGAACATAATGCCACCATTTCGGAGGTATATAGAGCATTTCGCCTTCCTCTAAAATGCAGTCCATAAATTCCAGGTCCTGCACCTTCGGAAACTCATTCAGTCTATGCTGTCCAGATCAACCTTCAATCAATTTTTTTTGTATTTTTAGTCGGCATTAAAATTGAAAATTAATGACACGACTCCAAACATTCCATTTATTTAGCATTAATTCTGATCTTGTTACCTACATCAGACAACAAAAGATAGGCAACTACTAAAAAGACAGTCTGGGGAAATGTGCACGAATTCCCGTTTGGCATGGGCTAAAAAGCTACTCTTTTGCTTAAAATAAGCCAAAAAGCAACATGTTTGTCTTGAGCTAAAAAAGCTAAGAAAAACTCCCTAAACAAAAAAGCAATTTTTTTAGCAATTATTACAACATCAAATATTTTTAAAGCAATTATCAGACACATCAAATATTTTTAGATTCTTAAAAAAGTAAAAAAAAACTAAAAAGGCAATTGCCAAACTCCAAAGTCCATAAAATAGAGAGTTTAATTACTTGAGAAAGTAATCACAAAATCTGAAACCATTTCAGGGTTACTAGGTTACCTTAATGCCAAAAGAAAGTTACCACTTAAAACAAGTATAGAACAAAGAAACTAATCGTAAGGTAGAAGGTATTAAATTGAAGCAACTCTGTTAAGATTAAAACATAGGCCATTAGTCCTTTTTATTTTTTTTTTTCATTTTTTCTTTCCATTTGTCTACATTCATTCAGTCTCCCTGAAAACAGATAGCCACTAGCAAACTTCAACATTTATGTAATGATCCTAAAACAGACGGTATGAGAATTTTAAACAATTAAGCATACTTGATATTAGAAGACGAAGCTATCTCAAACAAAATGATATAATATATGCACATATAGCTATATATGCTTAGAGCGATTTGGTACATCAACCATGGATATAGCACAACTAAGAACTTGGTCCCATGTTCTATGGTATTGGAAAGTAATTATGAAGTTATTCTAAGGTTCTTATCTATGATGCACGGACACGGACACGGACACGGACACGGACATGACACGGACACGACACGGACACGAAAAACGCAAATTTTCAAAAAATAAGGGACACGACACGCAGGGGACACATTCAATATATATAATTTTATTTATTTATTATATGTAAAATTAAAAAATATAAATATTATTTATTTATTTTAATATCAAATATTATTCACAAATTAAAATTTTCTTATAAATAAAAATAATTTATTTAAACAAATAATAATATCTAAAAAATAGAAAAAAGGAAAGAAAAAAAAAAGAAAAAAGATGTTTGTTCAAATATATATCCAGTATATAATAATATATACTATTATTATTAGTATATAAAATAAATATGTATATATTTATAGTATATAAATATATATATGATATATATTATTAGTATATATGTATACAGCAATCGATGGTCAAACGAGAGGCACCGAAACACCATAGCGAGAGAGAGAGAGAGAGAGAGAGAGAGCAGAGAGGGAGACGACACAGACGAGAAAGACGAGGAAGACGACACAGACGACGCAGATGAAATGAAGAAATAAGAAGAAAAATGAAGAAAAACAGAAGAAAAGAAGAAGATCGAAGAAGAGATTTGAAGAATCGAAGAACATACCTGATCTAGGGCTCCATTTCAACAGGTTCTTCACCCTTTCTCTCTCTCTCTCTCTGTCTGCAACAGGTTAGGGTTTCTCTCCCTCTCTGTCCATAACGTGTCCATAGCGTGTCCAACAGTGTCCAAACGAGTGTCCGGTTGCAAAAATTCAAAAAAAAAAAAGGGACACGTTGGGTAGAGTGTCGGACACGTGTCCACCACGTGTCCGTGTCCGACACCCAAACGTTGCCTTAGGAGACGTGTCCGTGCTACATAGGTTCTTATGTTCAGGTATTGTGAAATTCTGCTATTCAACGTGATCAGATATTCAAGGCTAACTCTACCAGGGACCAGGTGATTTAACTCTATCATGCAGAAGATGCACAAGGATACAAGTCAATAAAATTATATTAAAGAAGAAACAAGACAGTATAGCAACTAGCTAGGGAGTTGGGCTTTGTTTTCTTAACATTAAATACTAAGAAAAACTTTTTAGAAAAATAATAGCAACTTCCTAGAGATGATTTAATCCAGACTAATGTAGGGTTCACAAGCACAGCTACCTGGCTTGAATTGCTAAGCATGGTTTCCTTGTGTGGGTAAAGTTCCTCTGACAATGAAGCCGGGTAAAGCCTTACATACTTTTTTCCAACCACCTGAAACAGACAGGCAGGATCATTCTCAACAAACCAATGAACAAATGTAGTATCTTTCTTCTTCTTCTTCTTCTTCTTATTTTATTTTATTTGTTATAATTAAAAAAAAAAAGGGACTACAAACGTAATGTCATCATAACACCAAACCAGATGCTAGAGTGATAAGACCAGGAGGGGTTTCCAAAGCACAAATACTTCATTAAATCAACTTCTTATATTAATCAGTATGCACAATTTCAACCACTATGAAGAGTGCTCTCTACATTTCTTTTCTTTTTTTCAACAAAATATTTTATTTTATTTTATTTTTAACCAAAACCTCTCAACTTGTTCAGTAAAAGAAAGTTGAATGTTACTTGCAGATACAATTCAAAGCAGTTTTATGTGTAAATTTCTTAACATGCTGGAGAAGTACAAAGTGAGATAATGAACTCTATCCAGTTTCTTGTAAGAAAAAGCATTAACTCTAACCGCAATACGAGAACTTAAGGCAAAATAAGAAACCATTTTGAAAGCTTCAATGAAAAAATAACATAAAGCAGTCAGGAAACAGTCATCTGAAGGTTGTAAATGGTAGACAAACTTGGAGAAGACACCATGTCATGATTCTTCAGTGATTAGAATTAGTCTGAAATACCTGAGCAAGTATATTATGGTGAGGATCATGGTGCAATGGTGTTACTGTCCCAGCAGGACCAAACCAAGCATTAAGTGATCTGAGCTCCCCGCCACCAGCAAAACAGTAATCAGGTATGAGAATGTCCTTTCGTAGCTCTTGTATCTGCCATTTAAATATCAAGTCAATGACTGGAAGGCATTAATACAAAATCCTAATGTGTTGCTACAATTCCATCATATAGCGTCCTCGTAAAAGGTTATGCATGCCTGATCAAACAATGGATGCTGGGCTAAATATGTTGGACCAGTAGAACTACTGTCATTCGACTGAATCCTCTCAAGGAATTGCGAAAATGTGATTAATTCTTGTTTCCACTCTGAGCATATGTAGTTCTTCCCAACCTGTGAGACGAATCAACTTTACCAGTTTTAAGATCAAGAAGTCATTCACGTGCATAGAATATTTTCTGTTAATTGACAATCAGAACATACAAGAGCTTCATAGGCATTCAAAAAAGGCATAAAAGAGAAAGATATGAAAAAAATGAATTTTTTACACATTTGGACCAACTTATATTGTGTAAAAAAAAAAACCAATTATCAGTTTAACAAAATGAATACGCATTAATATTTTAATGAACTGGCTGTCAAATGGGTAAAAGAAGGTTTAAGGAGCCTTTTTCCTGTAAACACCATGATGATTTACATTTCTACATGGAGAACCTTTATTATAGGAACTCAAAGATCTATGAGCTCTTTAAGCAATAGAGAATCTTATTGGTGATATGTTAAGGGAGGATTGAAGATAAGCACAACTTGTAGCATCTACTTCAATGTTGCCATTTAATTTTAAAGGAGGCACAACACAGTTTGAAAGATGCTATAAAGGCAATCTCCAAAGTGAATCCCATCTTTGTGGGTAACCTGACTCCACCAAGCACAGGCCCTTTTAGAATAGGTGATTAACAACCACTGCTATAGATCTGAAGCTTAACTAAAATGATTCCCATTTCTAAATAGTATTTTCATGGTTTTTTGTGCATTAAGTTTAAAACTCTGCCAGCTTGTGACCTACTGAATTTAAAATGAGATCAGCAGAACCACTCTTACTTAAGTACAGGTTTATCAACATAAATCTTTCTTGCGTAATCAATAGGATTAGAAGTAATTCATCTAAAAGTAATTCAATGCAAAAAGTGACATTTCCAACTAAGTGGTTCATGTGATACTTCTCATCTAGATCGTCAATTAAGTGGGCTCATCTTCATATCTTCCCTTGGAAGGCAATTTGGTGTGCATAGGCTCCCCTGGAGTAGCTATTTTTGTGTGTTAATAGCTTTGGATCCCATTTTGATCTTTGATAAGAGGCAAAGTACTTATCCTCTAATTGGGTTAATTGGAGCTTCCAGCAAGTATAACTGAAGGTGGACCTAAAAAACACTTGGATCAAGCCCACACTCTGCAAAGGATCAGAAGTTAGGATTGATTATGCAAAATCTAGAAAGCAAGGCTAGGCTTCCCCAAGCTATGACACTCACAACTAAGCCCTACGAAGCAGAAAAATGAACCTACAATAATTATCAAAATCTGAAAATGCTAATTAAACCACACAACTCAAAAACAAAACAAAAATTCTTAAACTCTTCTTTATATCTTTCTTGAGCAGTGGAGAAGCCACCTTTTCCCACCGAAAGTAGTCTTGGATCTTCACCACATCGATCTCTGGTCTTTAATGACTAAAGATTCAGGAGAGAGTGCTAGTCATCATCTTTCATTGCATTGTGGATTAACTTGGGACTTGTCAGGCATATTTTTTCTCCTATTTGAGATAGATTGCTTCACCTGTTAACTGATCAAGAGGATTCACACAGCTGACTCTACGCAGTTGGGACAAAGACTTTATTGAATTGAGTATTGGGGGAGTAAATAATGCCAGGAACAGTGGTTTACCTGATTGCGTCTTGACTCCTGGCCGGGGAATGGTGCCAAGAGGAGGGCAAGGCAGATGGGCGGTACTACTCTGATTGTACCAAGGTGAGGAGGATGTCACTTCTTCTGGATTTTCGCACCCTTTGTATATTTTTCTATAAGTAGTTTATTTATCAGTGGGTTACCCAATCTACCTCTCTCAGACCTCCATCAAATGGAGACTAAATTGGGTGTAATTTTTTTAATACGCCTTTCTTACTTCATGTGTGTACACTTACCATGAGTAGTAGTGCTCAAAACTTCTAGAACAAAATATTAATATCTCCTAGGGCACAAAGTTGACAAAAGGATGATGCTGTCCTTACCAGTTACCACAGCTTAGCCAGACAAGTTCTTAATGTGCTCTCTTTGCCGAATCACTTTCACACATTATGACATTCAATATTCAAAATATAAAATATCCAGATAATCTTAGAAACCCTTATAATGCCAAAAAAATAAAAAGGAACAAAGTTAGAAGTAACTAATGAATGACACATCATCTAATGGATGCATAGGATAGGACATTTTTTTTATAAAAAAAAAAAAGACAAATAAGAACCCGATGCTAACAACTAGGAAAATAATCACCTCAACGGGAACTGTGCGACAGCCAGCTACCCTTTTTAGGTAATCCATGTCGTTCCACTTTGTCCTAGCTGGCCAATGAGCCATACAATCACTGATAATAACTGGAGAACCTGACAAGAAATAGTCACGCAATACGCATTAATATTTTAATGAAACCGTTTCACAACCATCTTACAAGACAGGGACTTCATGGGTAAAGCCTGAAGCACCTACAGGTTCAAATGTAATATAACAGTGCAAAAGTCAATACCTTATTTTCCTTCTCTATGCACATATCATTTAAAACATTGATCAAGGAATCTTAATCAATTGCACAATCACAAATTTGAAACACATCTTTTGAAGTCCAATTAAAGATAGTGAATAGTTGATTACAAGAGTAAAACCAAAAATGAGTATAATCATAGAAAATAAATATTATCTTTTAAATTGACAATTTTTAATAGTTACTCATGCCAAGTTGGTTGAATGGAGGAGTATGAACAAGGAATCAATTTACATTTTTTAAGTGAAAATTCAATCTTATAACCGGCAAATTTGGTAATTTTTAATAGTTCTATTAACAGCAGAAGGTTTTTGCTATAATTTTGTTAAATTGGTCTTGAAATTGGCTTGGCTCCTCCAAAAATTTCCCTGTATATATTGAATAACATTGTTTTGATTCAACAAATGCATATAAAAATAAAAACAAAAACAAAGAAAGAGAAAACAAACCTCACCTCCGCGTCGTTTAATTCTACAGGACATTGCGGTGTTGCTTCATCAGAAACCCTAAGAGCAGTCATCTTCGCCGAAGCAATCTGGACAGCCGATTCCAAATCATTACGAAGAGACAATCCTCCCATAATCAAGCCCATATCAAGAACACTAAGTGCCTCCCTGAAATCAGAGTTGGAGTAATGAAATTTAGCGACATTAAGGCAAGCCATCGAGTACGCGTCTCTCCAGATTGGAAGCACGGAGTGCCAAGGACCGGAGTGGAGTTGCTCCCACGCCATCTCACGCGCCGCCTCCGCCGCCCTGAAGTCGCCGGCGGAGGCTAGGGCTGACATGCCGACGTAGGCGTAGCCGCCTTGTTCGGAGATTTTGTGGAGTATGTTCGGGCCCTCTGAGTCCATGAGTGGGGTTTTTAGGGTTTCGGAGAAGTCGCCGGCGATGTCTGTCATTGATGGCGGTGGAGGAGGGGAGAAAAGAAACTTCGATACCGTACTGTTCGGGTGCTTCTATTTATACGAGTCCGGATCTCTCCAGCCAAAAGCCCCTCCCGTCCTCCGGTCAACGGCCACGATTTGGCTACGCGGCTCTTTGAAGATCTACGACCCAGATAAAAAAAAAAAAAATTCATTTTTTCTGAAATGGAAGAAGAACAGAGGATGCATTTTTTTTTTCTTTTTTCTTGCGTTTTTCTGATGCAAATATTTTGGAAGAAGAAAAAGAAGAAAAATCAAGATGATGAAGATTTGTAGATCTGGATCTGCAGAGGAATTTTTTTTTGTTGTTGTTGATGAAGATGATGATGATGTTGAAGATGATGTTGAAGATGCTGAAGATTTGATGCGTTTTCTCTGCAGATGATCTTGATGATCTTCAATAGATAGATGATGAAGGTGTTGAAGATGATGTTGAAGATGTTCAAATTTTTTTCAGATGATCTGAATATATATGTAGATTTCTGAAAAACAATGGATAGATGATCTTCAAGAATATATATTGATGATCTTTAAAGATTTTTGAACACAGAAATCTGCATCAAAACTAAAAAAATTTCTGTAGATTTTTCTGCAGATATTGATGATCTTCAAGAAATTTTTTTTATGCAGATTTGAAATCTGATTTTTTTTACAGATTTACTCACAGATCTGTATTGAAAATATCAATTTAAAAAAAAAAAACGGAATTGAAATGTTGAGGGGAATAATCAATTAAGTTTGAAGAAGTTTGAAGATGATATTGATGTTCAAATTTTATCAATTAGATTGATGTTTAAATCTGATCTTGAAGATTTTTTTTAGCGTTTGATAAAATTTGAACATCTTTAGATGATCTGAATAATCAATTAAGTTTGAAGATGATATTGATGATGTTCAGATTTTTTTTTAGATGATTTGAAGAAGTTTTTGGTGAAAAACGAAATTCTTTTTTATTTTATTTTTTTTTATCTGAGCCATAGATCTTCAAAGGGCCACGTGGCCAAATCGTGGCCTTTGACCGGAGGACCGGAGGGATCCTTTGGCTGGAGAGGATCCGAACTCCTATTTATACATCATATTTACTCTTAAGGCACACTAATACTTAGTTCATATATTTAATAATTTTAAAAAATATATTTTTTCTCAATATACACCACAATATTTCATTTTTATCCTTAGTCCCACATCACCCAGTACACATCTCAAATTAAAATAATAATAATAATAAATAAAAAATAAAAGCGGTTAGACACTTACCACCGGCAACAACAGCCATCACCAACAATCACCATCAAGGCCAACCATTTCACCGCACTTCTCATTTATATAAAATAGTCCATGAGAGTAAAGAGTGCCATAGTGAGATGTCCCAACCATACATGATATCGAGTTGCATGTTCAAAAGGGATATCTATTAGTTGGAGAAGAACTGATCCCCTTGCAATTGGGAGAAACAAAAATGCCAGGCAAAATAACCCAAATCAAACCAAAGCGAAGTCCTGTCAGCTCCAACATCAAATAACTGAATATTTTCAAGTTACAATGTCAATTTAGTCAATGAAACCAATCTTTATATACTGAATATAAAAACAAATAAATAAAAAAGCGAGCACTTGCATAGCCATTGAAACTGGAAAAGATAATAGAACTAGGTACAAGCAGTTTGGATGCATAAATGACAGAACAGCCCCAAACATACAAGAACTTCCACTAAATATATGTATCACCAAGAACTAATTGTGTAGTTATGTGCATGCAGAAACAAGCATCCCTATTTGGTGCTAGGAAAATGTAGACAAAAAATGAGAAACAAAACTGTTTTGAATTTTATTTTGACTTTGGAGCCGGCGATGGAAACGACAGCACTGACAATGATTTAGGGTTAGGGTTAGGGTTAGGGTTAGGGTTTGGATGTATGTTCAACTAAGGTGTGTATTCAGTTGTGGTCATTTTGGTCATTTTAGATAAGGTCATTATTGTAATAAAAAATAATCAATTAATGGTGTGCCTTGAGATTAAATATGGTGTGTAAATAGAGGCACTCGTACTGTTCACGCTTCACAATGCAGTCGGATTCGGATATACCAATAGCTTGAGATATTTTTCTTTGAAGATACGGAAATATCTGAGTAGCAGATATTTTCCCATTTAGGCCTCGTTTGGGAAGTGATCCGTTTAGCCAAAAAATTAAAAAGTCACTAAAAAAAATTAAAAAATCAATAACTCATACCAAAAAGTTAAAGATTCTCTTTTTTTCTTCTTCTACTTTTTACATATCTTTTCGTAAAAACTCAAAAAGTCATCCCAAACATACTATTTTTTTTAGCTCATATTTTAGTTAAATAATTAAAAAGTTACTAAATTAGCCTGTTCCCAAACGAAGTCTTAAACTCCATATTTTATGTTCGGTTATTTTAATTTTTAGTTATTTTAATAGATTTTATGATTGGTTAGGGGTGTATTAAAAAAGGAGCTTTTTTTCATAAATTTCATTCCTACCAGGTTTATATCATAAAACTCAAATGTTTTTTATTATTCCATTATATTCCATTATATTCCATTTAGTGTAGTAAATAGGGGTGAAATCGGTTCAGTTCGGTCGGTTTTTTCACTAGTTTTGCACCCAACCGGTAATTTCGGTTTTACATATTTGTGAACCGAACCGCCCAGGAAAAATGACATAAACCGGCGCGGTTCGGTTTATTACGGTGCGGTGTGGTTTTTCGATTTTTTGGTTTTTTTTTTTTTTTGGTTTGCTGGTTGGGCCTCACGTTTTGGGCCTATATTTCTATCCATTTTGCATAAAATTTGGGCCTCAAGCCATGTAATTCCTGCATAAGTTTGGGGCCTCACATTTTGGGCCTATATTTTTATCCATTTGCATAAAAATTGGGCCTGAAGCCATGTAATTCTTGCATAGGTTTGGGCCTTACATTTTGGGCCTATATTCTTATCTATTTGCATAAAATTTGGGCCTAAAGCTATGTAATTCTTGCATAAGTTTGAGGCCCCTGCCCTGTTATTAACATATACCAACAAAAAAATGAAAAATAATATATATCCAATCATAAAGTTTAAGCCTTCTATCCAAGTCTAAGTCTAAGCCATCAACCAACCATATATCCAATCCAACCATAAAACTATGTGTCTAAATCTAAACCTTAATAAATATTACAGACCATTAATATAATTAATCTCAAAACTCAAAAACATAAAATAGAAACCATCTAAGGCAAGTCTAAGCCATCAACCAACCATATATCCAATCCAACCATAAAACGATGTGTCTAAATCTAAGCCCTAATAAATATTACAGACCATTAATCAATCTCAAAACTCAAAAACATAAAATAGAAACTATTTAAGGCAAGCAGCAGCAATATGAACTTTCCAACTAAGCAAGCAAAAGAGACCTGTAAAAAAAATAAAATTATTATCAACATAATTCAATTTAACATAAAAAAAAATTACATCAACTATTCAATTTCTTACCCTTGCTTTCAAGCATCAATCAATAACAGTTACATCCTTATTGCTTGTTCCTTCCGTAAGTACTAAAAAAAGACCCAATGCACAACAGGTTAAAGTGTTAAACATATAATTTTCATTTAAAAAAAAAAGAAAAGAAAATAAGAAATACTTGCGACTTCAGAAAAAAAATACCTGAATCAAGCTCCTCCAATTCTTCCAATTGATCTGTAAGATTGATTTGAGATGGGAAATGAAACCAATTTTGCGCACAGATGAGAGCTTCCACCATAGAGAGTGATAGAGAGCTGCGAAATGGATCAAGAACACGTCCTCCCGTGCTAAAAGTGGATTCTGAGGCAACTGTGGACATGGGGATAGCTAGAACATCACGAGCCATATGAGAGAGGATGCGATACTTAGTGGAATTAGTCTTCCACCAACCCAATATATCAAAATTATCATCATCTTCTTCACAACCCTCCACCAAATACCTGTCCAATTCAGACTTGTTAACCATATGATTTTCTTCTTCCAAATGCATCTTAAACTTGGTTTTCATTTTTGTTCGGACATCCGTGTCATGATCTTTATCCAAATTCATTTCCCTTGATGGCTGCCCCATATTTTGTGGTTGCATACTTTCATTTTGAATACTTAAAACATACCACTCATATAACCTTGTCAATCCTCTCTTTAGTTTGTTTACCAAACCATCAACATGTTGAGTTTCATAAGTTTCTTCCAAGCACCATTGCACATATTTAAGTTTGTAACGAGGATCAACAACAAAAGCAACAAACAATAGCAAATTGATCTTGTCAAACTTACCCCAATACTTGTCAAACTTTGAACTCATGCCATGTGCCAATAATTTCAAACTTAGATCATCATGCACACATAATTCGGTTATTGCACTTTTTATCAACATTATCTCCGAAAAAAATGCATTGCAAGTAACATAAAAAGAACCCAAAAAACGCAATGTGGCATTGTAAAACAATTTTAAAAACTTGACATACAACTTCGCTTTCATCCAATCATAACTTGTCGGTGGCCCAATTGCTTTTCTTCTCTTTTTTCCTTTTCCACTATTAGTTGGACCAACTCTAAATCCCTCACCAAGTTCACCATCCTCACCAATCTCACCACCAACTTCACTCTCTTCACTATTTTCACCAACCTCATCCTCTCTAAGAGTCAACTGGAAGTGTGTGTCCTCATCTTCTAACCGCTCAAAAGCCTTTTGAAATGGTAAAGCCCGCTCTAACATGAAATATGTAGAGTTCCATCGGGTAGCTACATCCAAACAAGGTTGACCATGACACTCAATGCCCTCCGTTTCAGTACACGATTTGAATTTAGCCATCCTAGATGGAGAGGATCTCACATACTTCACAATATTCCGAATCCTTGTTATGGAGTCGTCAATTTCTTTCAATCCCTCACGAACAATTAGATTCAATATTTGAGCACAACACCTCACATGTAAAAACTCATGCTCTAATATGGTACTCTTCCTAGTTTTCCTCTTTCGCTTCAAAAAATTAATGAGACCATTATTTGAGCTTGCGTTATCAACTGTGACTATGAGAAACTTATCTATCCCCTATTCTACCAAACATTGCTCAATCACCTTGCCAAGTGTCTCACCTTTATGGTTAGGAACT